CTCAGTTGCCATCTGATGCAGTCTCCACGAGCTGTCATTCCCCTCGCTCTGCAGAGTTCAGGTCCGGGACCACGCTGTGCAACGGGGTGGGCTGAGTTAGGTCCCGAGGGGCTCGGGATCCAAGGGTAAGGGGCACTTGGGCAGGGTCAGCAAGCGCAGGTTGGTACCACCCGCTACCGCAGCAGTGTCAGGAGCAGCCTCAGCCAGCACAGCCCCCTGGGCCGCAGTCTGGAGTGGGGAGGCAGGGCGTCTCCCGGCAGGGATGGCCGAGCTGACTGCAAACCCGTTCCTGGCTCTGCTGTCCCCATGAGCCCTTGCTCTCTGAGTCACGCGCAGCTCGGCCCTACGTTCTCCTTTGCTGAAGCTGGGCAAGGCGGTCTCTGTAGCTTTTAGAGAACCTCATGCCACGTGTGTTTCAGTACGTGCTGCCCAAAGTTGTTTCTTCTCTCTTCTTTTGCAGGACCAAACCCAGGGCCTCACGCACGCTAAGCAAATGCTCTGCTGCTGCGCCACATCCCTAGCTGTTGCCCAGGGTTTCTGAGTCTCGTTTTCTCCCGCTGGAAGGTAGGATTTCTATCCTCAGCCCTGCAGCAAGCGAAGTCCTAGGTAAGGGAGCCTATAAGCAGTGCTTACTGACCCCGGCTCCGCACTGGCCTCACAAGGGAATTCAATGATCTGGCACCCCAGCTTGCGCAGCACCACAATTAACCCAGAACCTCAGGCGTGAGTGCAGGCAGCAGCGCTTTCTCAAGCTCCACAGGTGATGCCAGTCAGCGGTAACCAGGGTTTCTGTGGGCAATGAGCAGCTCGGCATCACCCTCACAGCCGCCATTGCCCTGTGCCTGGATGTCAGCAAGCCATTAGTGTGGCCCCCACCAGGCAGCAGCCAGATGGGCCGAGCGAGGGGAATCCCTCCTCTCTGTGGGGCCTCCCTCCAACCTGGGCTCTGGAAGGGTCTCTGCTGCAGCCTGATAAAAGCCCGAGGGCTTAGCTAGAAATTTTCAGGCCATTTGAGTGCCCTGTGTCCGGCAGCCACTGAGGAATCTGAACTCTTCGAGCCTGGGGCTGTGGAGGGGTCATTTGGGCTATGACTTTGCCTCTGGGCAGGAGACCATGGCAAGGGCTCTGGAACTGGTGCAGGAGAGCTGAGTTCAAGTGTGGACCCTGCCAGGCACCAGTCAGTGAACAAGGACCAGGAAAATCTGCAGAACGAACATATTTATCAAACAATTCTTGTGCACAAGACGACAAGAGATTAACTTCAATCTGGGCGCATCAAAATGCTCTGATTTAGAGACAGAGGAGGGACCTCAGAATCTGCTTTATCGGTGAGCATCTCTGTGGCCCTGATGTTGACTGCTCTAAAATCTGCTTATCACAGTGATTCTGAAGCGGGAAGCCAAAGCCGAGCTGCAGTGCCAGAAGGGGTGGCCTTGGGGAGCGGTGGTGTTTTACATGGTGAGACAAAAGTGAGTAAGCTACAGTAGACCTCAAGCAGCCCCAAAACATTAGGACACTGCCACTCCCCTTTCCCTACTTCTCCCCCATTATTCCACGAAGTAAGACTATTGTTGGGTAATATAAATCCAGCCCCTAAGTCTTCTTCCTTATCCACCACTCCTCATACACCAGCTTTAATCTCTCTTTTTTTTTTTTTTTTTTTTTTGGTTGTGGTTTCTCTTTCTGGTACCAGGAATCAAACTCACGACCTTGCGCTTGCCAGGTAGGCGCTGTGCCGCTGAGCTATATCCCCAGCCCCCAGCTTTAATCTCTTGCATCTCCTGTTCCTCTGCATGGAGGACTAAGTCCCTTCAGTAGTTTGTTACCACTGTCTGACAGTGCGGAGCTCTCACCCACCTGCTATTTGATTCTCCTAATCCCATGAGCAGCCGCAGTAACAAGTCTGCAAGTTCTCTTCCTACCAAATGCAGTCCACAGATACTCCCCCAGTTCTGGGAGCGAGCAGGAAATCTGGGCAGTGCACAGAGAAGAAGCTGGGTTTTACTAGGGCTGAGTTTGAGGGGAGCGGGATCCGGCTGCCGTCAGGCTTTTCATGGAGAAAGGAGGTCTTTAAAAGTCAACATGCACCTTCTTCATTCCCTATTTGGGCAGGGTCAGCTCTGTCATGGTACCAGTGGCTATGTGGTTTTAATCACTATAACGAGATCGTAATGAGTTCAAGGTCATTTCAAGTGTCAACACAGCATCAGGGCCAGATGGAGACCCCCACCCCTGCCGCCGCCGTGTTGGGAGTGGGGAGTTGGCAGCTGGGAGCATATGAGTATCAATATCACACTCTAACTTTTGCAAGCACACGGCATCTGACTGAAGAACAGCAACTAGCAGTAGTTTAGGGTTTCAGAAAGCTGCTTTTTCAACTCACTTCCCACACAGTCACAAGGCTGGTGAGGATCAGAGAGAGGAGAGCCTCAACTTAAACTTGGACACCTTAGGGCATGATGCTCCTAAAAAGGTGTATCAGTCTGTGTGTCTTCTGTCTGTCTTCCTGCCAGCCCGCTGATCCACGTCCGTCCACCCAGGCCCTGC